AATATTTATAAAATATACGATATTTCTCAAACACATAGAAAATATAAGACTAATATTTTGTGCTACTAGGGAATGCCCGTAAATTAATTTACATTTTATACGAAAAATCGCTAACTTGGAAACACGGTTTTTACTGTTCTGCAACATCGGAGACTAAAAATGCCGAGCATTTGGTTGAAGTCGCATTTAATTTCACAATTTCATGTTCCAATAACTCGATATTCTTCGGCAGTTATTGATAAATCGTCACGCGAAGTGTTACAGAAATAACACAACTGGAAGTTACTGGAACATAAAATTGCAGAGTAAATCTTTGGATTCATTCGTAAGCTTTTCAATGAAGGTGAAGTGAAACACGTCAAGGAAGTTGATCGACGTCGGTAAAGATTTTTCTAAATACCTACGTTTATTGTATTCTAATATAATTCTACGAATTATATCAGGTATTGTACCAAATGGAATACTCCATCTGTCGTTTTCATACAATAATTATAAAGAACTCAAAGCAAAACTCCAGAAATCCTCTGGACTTATGGTTTCTGAAGCCCTAATTGACTGCAGAGTGTTACCCTGCGCCATCTGTGATTTCAGTATTAACTTAAGGTGAACTGAAACATGTCGAGGAACTTGATAGACGTGGGAAAAGAAGATTAGTCTAAATACCTACGTTGCCGAAGTTGGTTTTTAAATTGACAGCTGTGTCGAATTATATCAGGTATTGTACCAAATGGAATACTCCATCTGTCGTTTTCAGACAATAATTATAAAGAACTCGAAGCAAAACTCCAGAAATCCTCTGGATTCATGGTTTCTGAGGTCCTACTTGACTGCAGAGAGAACCCCTGCGCCATCTGTGATTTCCAAATCAACTAAATTTTCACTCCGAGACCCCACATTACCATCGTTTTGGCATATAAGCGCATACAACACTTTTTTTGCCTTTATCCCGTTCAAATGCGCGTTTATCGATTACCAGAGTGTTCTAAATCGTCGTACAATTGTGTTGACCCTTTCGTTTGTCATATTAGAGCCTTTAATCATTGCATATCGATCGAAATATGAGAGCTCGACGCCATTTTGGTTCTAGTCTGGGCTAAGTTAACAAATTGATCCAAAAATCCAAATTTTGAATGTGTCAGGACAATTCTTAGATGATCACGAGTCATGTTACGACGTTTCAGACAGTTTGGTCCAATACCATTAAAAAAAAGTGTTGTATTCGAATCGACTGATTTGACGGGGGTTTTACTTAACCTTAAGGTGAACTGAAATATGTCGAGGAACTTGATCGACGACGGCAAAAAAGAATAGTCTAAATCCCTACGTTGCCGATGTTGGTTTTTATATTGACAGCTGTGTCGAATTATGTCAGGTATTGTACCAAATGAAATACTCCATCTGTCGTTTTCGTACAATAATTATACAGAAATCGAAGTAAACCTCCAGAAATCCTCTGGACTCACGGTTTCTGAGGCCCTAATTGACTGCAGAGTGTTACCCTGCGCCATCTGTGATTTCAGTATTAACTTAAGGTGAACTGAAACATGTCNCTGAGCAAACATTTAGTTGCAGCTAAACGTCACAGATGGCGCCGTTGGCAAAAAGAGCGTTGCGTGGGACGTAATAGTTGAACAATTTAGGATAATATAGTAGTCGGATTTTTTAGAATTAGGTAGGAAAATATGGAAAGTACTTTCACGAACAATTGCAAGAGAATGCTGGCTTGTTTCGTGGCTAACGCGTCTTCAGAGCAAACGTTTAGTTGCAGCTAAACATCACAGATGGCGTCGTTGGCAAAAAGAGCGTTACATGGGACGTAATAGTTGAACAATTTAGGATAATATAGTACTCGGATTTTTTAAAATTAGGTAGGAAAATATGGAAAGTACTTTCACGAACAATTGCAAGAGAATGCTGGCTTGTTTCGTGGCTAACGCGTCATAAGCGCAAACATTTAGTTACAACTAAACGTCATAGATGGCGCCGTTAGCAAAAAGAGCGTTACGTGGGACGTAATAGTTAAACAATTTAGAATAATATAGTAGTCGAATTTTTTAGAATTAGGTGGGAAAATATTGAAAGTACTTTCACGAACGATTGCAAGGCCATGCTGACTTGTTTCGTGGCTAACGCGTCTTCAGAGCAAACGTTTAGTTGCAGCTAAACGTCACAGATGGCGCCGTTGGAAAAATTATATTCAAATTCCTTATCATTCAGATTACGTAAAAACAATAATTAAGAAGATTGGATGCAAACCTGCTACCACTGAAATAATGTATTGATTTATTATCATTCAAATTATTCTATGTAGTTTCAATGTCAATAAAATTATTCTGTTCATTACAATGTCATTAAGATTATTACGAGGAAATTCGTTATCACCGTTACGTAACCTAATTCGTTATCATTTGAAAAATATTAACTCGTTCTCGACATTTTAATACTGTGTCTACTTAACAGAAACACCTGAAGAACTTTGTACGCGTCAGAAGATATTAAACCGTTTTTCCTCAAGTCTGTCAACAGTCCCGAAAACCTTTTTATTTTCTTTCGCTGATGAGAGTCTTGCATTTGGAAACGTTTAATTAATTTCATCTTCTTATCATATGTCTGTTGTAATAAATAAATAGAACTCTCCAAAGTCTCGGGTGTCATGTCTTTTATCCGATTTTTTGTGATATCTCCAGGATATCGAACTGTAAATGTATTCTTCTTTGGCATCGTAACAATATTTTCTTGACGAAGTACTTCCATCGATGGACTGTCTCCTTTTTCTTGATTAGGTACTTTCATCGATGGACTGTCTCCTTTTTCTTGATTTGGTACTTCCATCGATGGACCATCTCCTTCGTCATTAGGTATCTTCGTCGATGAACTATCTTCCTTTTCTTGATTAGGTATCATCATCGATAGACCATCTCCTTCTTGACTTAGTATCTTCAACGATGGATCGTCTCCTCTTTCTTGATTAGGTACTTTCATCGATGGACAATCTCCTTTTTCTTGATTACGTACTTTCATCGATGGACCATCTCCTTCTTGATTAGGTATCTTCATCGATGGATCAACTCCTTCTTGATTATTGATAATAATCTTCTCATCATTGCTACAGAATTGGATTAATGTACATTAATGAAAATATCCATATAATTCCTAATTAATTGCTAATAATAACTTATACTTTAAAGTGAAGTGAAACACATCGAGAAATCTCATCGACGTCGGTAAGAAATATTCTTGTAAACGCCTACGTTGCCGACGTTGGAATTTATATCGACAGCTGTGTCGAATTATATCGCGCATTGTACCAAATGTCGTTTCGTACAATAATTTTAAAGAAATTGGAGCAAAAATACTGAAATTCCATGGATTCATGGTTTTTGAGGCCCTAATTGACTGCAGACTGCACCATGCGACATCTGTTTCAGAGGTTACGTTACCGATATTGGTATTAATATCAACAATTGTGTCGAATTATATTGGCTATTGTACATTGGATACTCCATATGTCGTTTTCGTACAATAATTACAAAGAAATCCAAGCAAACTTCCAGAAATCCTATGGATTCCTCGTTTTTGAGGCCCTAATTGACTGCAAAGGGATCCTCTGCGCCCTCTGTGATTTCCAGGGCAATTAAATTTTCACTCCGAGACGTCATATTACCATCGTTTTAGCATAGAAGCACATACAACACTTTTTTTGCCTTCATCCCGTTCAAATGCGAGTTTATCGATTACCAGAGTATTTTAAAATTGTTGTAAAGTTGTCCTGACCCTTTCGTGTCTCATATCAGAGCCTTCGATAATTGTATATCGATCGAAATACAACAGCTCGATGCCATTTTGGTTCTGGTCTGGGCTAAGTTAACAAATTGTCTTAAAAAACCAGATTTTGAAAGTGTCAGGATAATTCCTAGGTGCTCACGAGTCATGTGTCAAAGTTCCAGACAGTTCGTTCCAATACTTAAGAAAAAGTGTCTTATTCAAGTCGACTGATTTGAGAGGGGTTTCACTTCACCTTAGGCAGAAACAAATATTATGTAAATACTTGCCATGACGTGAAAGTAGTAACTGATTCGACATTTCGTACGATAAAAATAGTTGCTCCTTGCTGTATTAAAGCTTCGTTATTTTCAGTATCAGCACTGCAAAATAATATACATATGTACAATAAATTGCCACGCTGTATGAAAAAGTAATTCTGAATCAGTCATGAGGTTACATCAACATTGTAAAAAATAATAAAAGTATTATTAATGCCTTGACATACTTTGACGAGTCTAACTCGTGATACAAATTTTGGACCAAACGTGAACATTACGAGTCAGACTCATGATCTTGATCTCGGATAAAACAAATTTTTCTGTTTTACGAGCATCTTTCCTTACCATTTTGATTTATTTTCTGAAAATCTTTGCAGACCACTTCGGCCTGAATTTTGGCGAGTTAATTTGTATCGCGAAAGTTTAACATAAAGCACAAGGAATGACAGTCGTGGCCAAAATTAATATAATTTTACACCATCATTCCAAATCATCACGAGTCAGACTCGTGATCTCGATTTCAGATAAAATAAATTTTCCTGTTTTGTGAACATCTCTTCTCACCATTTCGATTTATTTTCTGAAAATTGTTGCGGATCACTTCTGCTCGGATTTTGGCGAGTTAACTTGCATGGCGAAAGGTTAACATAAAGCACAAGGAATGACGTACATGAACAAAATTAACCTTTAACGCTCCGTTGGCTCCGCTATGGAATCATTCGTCATAACGTTGCGCAACTTGCGAAGCGCTAAAGGTTAATATAATTTTTAAGGCACGTATAGATAACTCTTAACGTACAATTCAAGTTATATAAAATAAAATACATAAACGTAATTGCAAATATGCTCCAAACTATAAATAGTTACCTTTCTTTATCGTCTTCTGCGGATGAACATGGAAAAATGGATGGAACCGAATGTCGTTTCAATCGTACGCTTTGAAATCCAAATTGTTCAATACAGTTTTGAGAGAAATGCTTAATACATATTCTACTGTACTTCGGTAATTGTTCAGCATTTTTTTGATGATTGTATGTAACCAATGCATTTATCCACTTCTTACGTAGCTCTGGATCGCTAGGAAACCTGTATAAAAATTTCTTAGCATCGCATAGATTTATAGGTTAGGCTTTAATGTATTATTTATAGACGAGTATTTAACTTATAGGTTAGGCAAAAATGTATAGGTTATAATAAACATAAATGTATAAATTAGAAATAAATGAGTTGATTATTTACCCGTAAAAAGGTATACTTTTATCATTTTCCTTATCCACATTACTCGTCTTCTTGTACTTTACACTTTTACATCCTTTTACAAAACAATATAGAACCATTCTTCGGTCTAATGTTGAGCTTTAATCGCTTTAATAACAACACAAATTAAATACACCAATCAAAAGCCATCTGGCAAAGCTACGTTTTCATCGGTTCTACAAATACTGGTTTTAGGCCCGATTCGCAACTGGAATTAACCAGAGTTTAAATAGTTCACATCAGGGGGTCTATTTCGTAAAGCAGTTGAGCGGAAATGTGAAAAATGAGTAGCTCACGGTATTACGGAACGTTCTTGGTAGTAAATCAAAAGCCATCGGGCAAAGCTACGTTTTCATCGGTTCTTTAAATAATGGTTTTAGGCCCGGTTCGCAACTGGAATTAACCGAAGTTTAAATAGTTCACATCAGGGGGTCTATTTCGTAAAGCAGTTAAGCGAAAATGTGAAAAATGAGTAGCTCACGGTATTACGGAACGTTTTTGGTAGTGAATAAAAAACCATCGGGCAAAGCTACGTTTCCATCGGTTCTACAAATACTGGTTTTAGGCCCGATCGCAACTGGAATTAACCGGAGTTTAAATAGTTCACATCAGGAGGTCTATTTCGTAAAGCAATTGAGCGAAAATGTGAAAAATGAGTAGCTCACGGTATTACGGAACGTTTTTGGTGGTGAAAATGCGAGACTATTCATATGAACTGGCTCGTCACACATTTTTAACCGAAATGGTGAAGCATACAAGAAAAAATAGAAAAATAAGACACCGTGACGCCATCTTCCACGGATTGTGACACCGAAATTCAAAACGGAAAACCTCCTGGATGTTTTGATTTTTGGCAACAATCGTATTCGGGGACGTAATAATAACCTTTTTAGAAGAAGAAGGGAACTACATAATGCCTCAGACTCATTTTAGTTAGAAGAAAGAAAATTTACTAGGATGTACAGGTTAGTTTTTGCTAATGCGAGGTTATATTACATTATTAAACATTGAAAACTGTTAAATAATTCATGCTTACATGATATGATAATAAAATTATATCGTTGAACTTCNCGTTCAAATGCGAGTTTATCGATTACCAGAGTGTTCTAAATTGTCGTAAAATTTTCCTGACCCTTTCGATTCTCATATCAGAGCCTTCGATAATTGTATATTGATCGAAATATGAGAGTGGGCGCCATTTTGTTTCTGATCTGGGCTGAGTTAAAAAATTTGTTTAAAGAATCCAAATTTTGAATGTGTCAGGACAATTCTTAGATGTTCCATCTTTAATCATCTAAGACGATGATGATTCTTAGATGATCAATCTTTAATCATCTAAGACGATGATGATTCTTAGATGATTCTTAGATGTGTCAATGTTTCGGACAGTTTGATCTAATACCCTTAAAAAAAAGTGTTGTATTCGAATCGACTGATTTGAAGGGAGTTTCACTTCACCTTAACGGTGTAAAATTGTTCAGTTTTTATGAAAAACATGTTCTTTACTCACCGCAATGTTTACAGGTGGGCGATATTCCAAGTTCCTTAAGATTTTGGTATGCTTGCACATTGTAGCAACAAAACGAGAGCAATGCAAAGATCAGTATGGAGTTCATGACTACTTTTGCGGAATGCAGGAAAATTGCGAATGAAATGATTCCCCCGGTGAATCCTATTTATACGAAATTTGAAGAAAAGATGGCGCTGGAGTGTTTTAAAAATTTATTTACATTTTCCGTCGAGCACAAACCTAGTTTGTTTAAATCGACGGGTGTATTATTGAAGTCAATATTTATTCCACGATTTCCTGTCCCCTTAATAACCGGATGTGTTATTTTGAAATGCTTTTTATTGTGCTGTCTTATCAGCAACTGCCGAATGGTAGCCCAAAATTGATTCACAGTTTTTTTATATGAAGCCAAGCCGAATTATTTCAAAAGCAACATCCTGGAGTTAATGAGACGTGAAATTGTAAAGTCAATTTTTCGATTCAATCGTAAACTTCTGATTTCCGGTAAATATGGCGATTAAAACGGATTTGATAACAGGACGGCACTGCACTGATAAGAAGCTACGGAAAATTACATACATTTTTACGTACTTCACGAAGGAAGGTTTACATAGAAAAACGTAAAATGGAAAAATTAGAAATTATTATATGTATAAATACACGTAATATTGTTTATTTACCGTGTTAGCGCATTTTTACTTCAATTAAATTTAATATT